AACTGCGCTCGGGCGCAGCGGCTCTCGAGCCCGGCGCCGCGTCTGCATCGGCCTGCGCAGCCAGCTCAGCCTCGCCGCTGTCGTCGATGTCCTTGATCTTGTCGTTGCGCCCGATAGCCGCGTCGTCGAAGCTGTCCTGCTGCGGGCCCCGATCACGGCGGATCTTGGACTCGCATGGTGGCTCGCTTGTGCTTTAGCGCAGCTGTCCAGCCCTCTGCTCGGTAGCCGGAGCCCCGGCGGGCCGCGGGCCCGGCTGGGCGGACCACGCGGCGCGCGAGTTGGCGCAGTGACCACGCTGGTTTCGGGCGCCGGTGGCAGGCTGAACGCCGCAGCTCATGAAGCCATTGGCCCCAGCGCGGCCCCGGGGCCCCGCGGGCGTGCTGGGGGCACTGGCCCCCCGAGAAGTGGGCTCCCGCTGCAGCTGCGGAGCTGTGGCTCGGGCCGCCGCCCCTCTGGGTGGCGAGCCCTGCGCCGCCGGCTTGGGCCGCAGAGCTCGGCGCTTCACCTGGCCGGGCGATGAGAGGTCTTGTCGGGCGCTTTCCCGCGGCCACCCCCCCTCGCCACGGGGTGCCGACCCCGCCTCGCTGACTCGCAGCGCGAGCTGGCCGCGCGTCGGCGCCCCGAGCTGGGCGCGCGGCGCCCGAGGTTCGCGGCGCGGCGTTTCGCAGTGGAGCAGCGCTCCAGGCGGCGCCGTCTTGGCCCCATGGCGCATCACTTGTTCGGTGGCCTGCTCCGGGCGGAGTGGGTCCAGCCGTGCACCGTCTCCGGTGCCAGTCGCGGCTGGTTTGGCCCTCGCGCTGGCTGGTGCCGCATTATAGGGCACGTCCTGGTGGGTCATCCTGTGGGCCGCGCCCTTGGTGGCCACGCTAGGCGCCAATGGGCCAGGCGGGTTTGCCCTCCTCGGCGATCGCGGCGGCGAGTCTGAGGAGGCGACTCCCCCTTGGGACTCGTGGCGTCTCGGCCCTGGTGGCCTCTGCCTTTGCGGCGACTGCTCGCGGCCGAGCCTGCCTTTAATTTTTGTTGGCTCTTGAGGCGGGAGGACCACTTTCGCAGAGCGTTGCTGCGTCTCTCCATCGTTCTTAGGGTTGGCCGCGATCCTCGCCGCGCCCGCCCCTCCTGATGGCGACCGGCTGCCCAGCGGCGGGCTGCGCTCGCTCTTGGGCCGTCTCATCCTCGTCTGGTGACGGGTGGGCTGGGCGCGACGGCGCATGCATGGCTGGGCTAGGCTGCGGGGCCCTGTCGCGGTTCTGCGGCCTCCGAAAATCGGCTTCTCGGGCGCGACTCGGCTCTTTGTCTCAGGAGCCAGGGCGGGGAAATTGGGGTGGCGAAGCTGAGCCATTTGGGCCTGTCTTGTCTGTAGTAGACCTGCAGTGGTCAATGCAGTTGGGCGTCGGGCTTCGGTGGCCGCCTGGTCGCATGGTTGGAAGATGCCTTGGCAGTTGTTGGTTTCTAACAGGACGTTGAAGATAAGAGGTTGCGGGTGCAACTCTTTGCGCTGCCACATGCGTTCCACCGCTGGTGCATCTGGAATCGTTTTGTGCGTCCGCGCAGCTAAGAGCTGCATGGCGCGTCGCACTTGGACAGTTCTCATTTATTCCTGGGTGAAGCCTGTGAGGACGCATATTCAGGGCTGTTTTGCTTGCCTGTCGACCAGCCCGGCGTTAGTCAGGACGTCGTGCTCAGGATAGAAGATAACCAGTCCGCCCGCCTTGAAAAGTGCGCGCTCTGGGTCGACAGCGGGCCTTTCCCTGAGAGTGACCGCACTGGTGCTAGCGTGGCTTCCCGCGTGCTCTTTGGGGCCTGGTGGCCTCGGTACGTTGGCGTTGTCTAGATTTGTCTAGTGACCTGGCGACTCAGCCGCCACCTCGCGGTAGCCCTGCTCCGCGCGTACCACCCGGCGAGATGGGAATGCCGGAAGCAGCGGTTCTTTGTTCACAGTGCTATCGCAAGCTCTGGGTCTGACTCAGGAGTCGGAAGCCCGCGTGTTAGTTTGGTCTTTTCGCCCCTCTTCGTCGAGGACGGCTTGGATGCTGCGGCAGTGGAACCCGCGCGCGTTGATCCCGTTGACTGAGGAGAAGAAGCAAACCCAGTTATTGGCGAGATTCCCCCCGCGTTGCTGCGCGGACCCATTCAATCTTTCGCTCCTGCCGATCGCACCAGACGCAGCGAAGATCACGCTGGTGCGTCTCCTGGAAGTGGTAAAAATGCCGGGTGCAAAATGGGCAAGTGTTGACAGCGCACTTGGCGCTAGTGCAACCCCCATCGTCCGGGCAGTACAGATTGGGGAGTGGCCTTTCTGCGCCACGGCGCGTCAGGTCCCCAGCAGCCCTCGGTGGACTTGACGGCTTATGAGGGATAGGTCATCTAGCTTTCGAGACTCCATGGCCAGTGGTGCGCGCTGCCGTTGCCAATGTCGACCAGCACTTCGCGCTTTGTGTCGGGATGCTTGTCGCTGGCCCAGCGTATCTTGTCGTGAACATTGAAGAGTACCCACCCCTGTAACTGGGAGCGTCGTTAGGCCTTGTACCCTTGGGTGGCGACTCCCCCTGGGGGGTTAGAGCCGTTGTGAATGTGGTGCTTGTGTGTGGTGTCGTTGAGCAGCCATCCCAATACCCAGTACGCACTCCGTGCCTGGTACGTCCCAGATTTCCCAGTGAGAGACGTGATACGTCTTAGCCGTCGGATCGAGCTGGTGCTCGCTCATTAGCTGTTCGATCTCCAGGTCTTCGTAACTGCTGTCGCGCGACGAGCTGATGACCTCGGTGGTTAGTTCAGGACCCTCTCCGTCGGACATGGCCTGTGCCACGACTTGTCGCCGAGGGGCCAGCGGCCTGTGCGCAGGCGATCTCTGAAGAGTTTCACTGGCGGGTCCCCTCGCATTGTCGCCCTTGCGGCTGCTCGTAGCTTTTTTCTGCCGCGACGGTGGGCAGGGCGATTGACGATGGCGTCTTTGGTGGCCGCTAGCTGCCCGTTGGCCGCGCTCGGCTTTTGGCGGTTTCACAACTCCTTCGGAGCTGGTTTTATCAAGTTTGGCTTGTGCCTTGCGGCGAGTCCCAGGCTGATAAGGCCAACGGTTTGGTCGACCAATTGCCCGCGTGGTGGGCTACCCGTTCGTGGCGGCGATGCCGCATGGGCTGGTGCGCGCAAAGACTGTTATGTTGGGGCAGCGCTGAGCAAGGGGGGGATCAAGGGAGAGGAGGGATGGGAGGCAGGGCACGGGGAGTAGGAGGGGAGGCAGGAGGGGAACATGGAGCGAGGGACGCGGGAGCGGATGAGGGGAGCAGGGATCAGGGAAGAGATTCAGCGGATCAGGGTTTGATGGGGGCACGCGCAGGAAGGCGAGGGGTTGGGCGTCCCTCGTCTCTCGGGCGTCTCTGAGGATCCTCCTTTTGTGCGGGCACCCACCTTCAAAAAATATAAAAACACAGCGCGCGTCGGGTGCGCGAGAGAGCACAAAGAGGAACAGCAAAAGGAGGAGAAGGGGGGGTGGAGGAGGGGCGGATTTTGACACTGCTCTTGAATGGGTGCTACTGAAGGGCCTCGTCGCAACGGCCAGGGCCACCTCGAAGTCCCGGTCGGAGCGCTCTCCAAGAGGATACTCAGAAAGAAGGAGAAAGAGGAAAAGGAGGACGAAGAGGAAGAGGAGGAGGGGAAGGAAGAGGAATAACAGGTGGGACGAGGATGGCGGGCGGAGCTGGAGGAGGAGACGGCTGGATCGCTTCATGGCTTGGTCTCCTCCCCTGCCAGCGCGTGCTGTCGAGAGCTCTGGCTCGCTTTCGAAGCAGCTGGCTGCCGCTGTCGGGTTTCCCACGCGTGGCCGCCCGTGGGCGCCTCCTGCGCTGGCATGGGTTCCCGGGGTCTTCGCCTGGTCGTGGCCCGTGGGCGGCTCCCCCGGGGGCACCTCGTGCGCTGGCTGAGCTTCTGCATGCTCGGTTGGTCGCCTCCGGAGGGCGCCTCGTGCGCTGGCTGGGTTTTCAGGTTTGTCGCCCAGTTCCTGCCCGTGGGCGCCTCGTTTCTGCCCACGGAGATCTTGCCCCAAACAGCTCCTGCACCAGATAGCTTGCACAGCATTGCTTGCACCATGAAAATGGTCTGCATGGTCTGCTCCACGGTGGTCTGCTCCACGTAGCATGCACCGCTGAGGTTGTATCACGCAGCTTGCACCATTAAGATTGCACTACGCAGCTTGCGCCACAGTGATTGCAGTACATGGTATGCACCAGGCGTTTAACTGTTTGTGCTCTTTTACGCATATGCGATCAGGAGCTTTCGCTTAGCGTGTCGCGTCGCCAATTCTGGCCCACCACGCTTCGGCGCGATACGCTAACCACTTCCCAATCCCCAATCGTCAACGTCCCGAGCCTTTTTCAGCCTCCCGCCCCGCGGAGCGGAGCGACACGCTATCAGCTCGCAGGGCATAGCGTGTCGCTGGGGCTGCCGCCGCGAGACTCAAAGCTTAAGCAAAAGCATACTTGCGATTTACACATATCTCTGAACTGGTCAGCATAGCTCTTGGCATCGCTCGCACGTGTGAATTTTTGCTCGGCGAGAACCATCGAAGAACGTCCTGGATCATCTTGTGAGCAATAACTGCATGAAGCCGAAACATGCACTAGGAATTGGCGTTGGAGCGATGGCAAGCGCTTACACGTCCAGCGTGCAATAACTCGCTGTGAATGGGGCTCACGCTGGCAAGCCTGACGCCAACAATATACAACACAGTGCTGTCGACTGTTACCCGATGCAAAGCACAGCATATCAAGCACCGCAGCGAAGTGTAACGCAACGCGGTGGAAAGCAATGAGAGCCGTTCAAAGCAAGGCGAGCACATCAAGTTAGAGCAACAACCAAAGCAAAGCAACGCAATAACATGGGATAGCTAGTTCCTTTTGCGTTCAGCTTGCTTCTGCTTGCGATGCTCTTCTCGGTATGTGGTCTCCTCGCTTGTGTGTCTTCTGCTTATCTTAAGCTAGCAGAATTATTTATCCAGAGCTCTCTGCAGCCATCTAGGCGCAAGGGCGCGCTCTGGCTCAAGCGTGCACCACCGACAACCCCAAACACCTTCCTGGTGAGTGCCTCGAGGCTCTACCAGTGAGATGAGCACCAAGGACGAGAAGCGCTTCACCCAGAATCTCGATTTCGTGAACGCACAGTACCCGCATATGGACGACCCGCGCTTCCTATCGATCACGAACCAGATGACCCACTGTCTCCTGCGCTTCGTGCAGTTCTGCCGCTGCGCCCGCGAGCTCGGCGAGGAAGACACGCGCTGCAAGTATCAGTACTTCCGGGCCCAGTGCGCGTGCCCCGAGTCTCAGATGGAGGACTGGATGGAGCACCGCGCGCGCGGCTCGTGCCACATGGACGTGCTGCCGGACCGTAGCACAGCGCATGCCCGCCAGTGAGTGTTGCAGCCTGTCGGCCGCATGGGACGGAGGGAGAGGGCGACGACCGAGTTGTTTAAAAGTCGAGCAACCCAGCGAGATGTTGAGCAAGGGGTCAGTTTGGCAGGAGCCTCGTCCTAGCGGTAGAACCTGCTCTAAGGGAATCGCGATTCGTATGTCTGAGCCGTAGGGACGGAGTACGCGCGCAGCGCATATTCATATTCAGTTCGAAATTCTTTGCACATGGGCATGTTTGTACAGTCAGTGCGTTGGGATAAGGGGCATGTTGGTTTCGGCAGTGGCTCGAAGCTACTTGGTCCTTCCGTGGGTTTTTCCGCAGGCTCATCTGGGGTTCAGACGGGGCTTCACCCATATTCACCGTCAGCAGATGGGCGATCGCGGCGAGCAAGGGGGCAAGCAAATCTGAGATCAGACCCCCCCAGGGAGTTGACACTCGCATCAATGTCTCAAGCTGTTTCGCTGTTTCGATGTGAAGGGGGAGAGGGAAGAGGGTGGAGTGGGAGAGGCAGGAGGACTAGGAGGAGGAGTAGGAAGAGAAGCAGATGAGTGGGCGGGGCACAGATGGGGCAGGGAAGCCTGGGGTTTGGGATGGCGGGGTGCCAGGGGAGCTGGTGAATTGGGGGGGACAGGAACAGGACTTAGGGAGAGGGGGTCTGGCTTTCTACTGCAGGATGCCGCCCCCCAGGCAACCCACGGTTTGGCAGCTGCGGCAGCAGCCGATGAGCTCATTGAGAACGGAGTTATCCCAGTCACCCACCATGATGGCCGATACTCAAGGGCATGGAAAACGCCCCTACCCTGGTTTACGAGGCGCTACGCGCTGAAACTCTTGTGGGCTGACAAGGTAAACCCTGCGTGATGTGCGGCGTCCTGGCGTCCTCTAGGCTTTGCAGGTTTACAGACCACGCACTTGTAACCCAGGGTCGGGTCTTTTTTTCATCCCTCAAGATACCACTCTCATCTTTCGTTTCCTCCTACCCCTCCTGCTTCTCAGCCCCCTCCTCCCCCCATCCTCATCCTCCCACTCCTCCCCTTAATCATACTTGCAAGTATTCCTTATTATCCTACTTGTCCGCACCGCTTCTCCTTCCCAGCCTCCCATCATTCCTCTCCCTCTCCCCTCACTCTCTCTCCCTCTCCCCCATCTCTCTCTCTCTCTATTTCTCTTTCTCTTTCCACCCTTACTTCCTCGTCCTGAGCAACGGCTCCTCTCCGTCGCGCCACCAAGCGTGTCGATTGGTCAGGCTGGGCACCTCGCCTGAGGAATCCTCATCACATGCGACTATAGAGCCTTGAAATCTCCCACGGTATCACCCACCCGCACGGGATTCCTGCACATCGCATGGTTCTACAGTTGCACGGGTGGGTGCGGCTCCTTTTCGACATGGTGGTCTCGCTTCGGTGCAGCGCCCATTTTTCGTAGAGCGCCTGCCAGCTACATGCACGGAGGGCAGTACATCCTTCAGCTCACTGTTCCCAAATCAATGCTTCCTCGTTCCTCGGGTAGGGGTTCTTCCTCGTTCTCCTCGTTCTCCTGAGCGAGGAGGAGGAGGAGGAGGAGGAGGAGGAGGAGGAGGAGGAGGAGGAGGAGGAGGAGGAGGATTTTCAATGCTTGAGTAGGGGTTCTTCCTCGTTCTCCCGAGCGACTGGGCAGGATTTTCGGGCTTTCGGCCACTGCCCCGGCCGTGGGCGCCTCCCTGGGCACCCCGTGCGTGGGCGGAATGGTCCCGGTTTTTTTTCGGCGGGTGCCCAGCCGTGGGCGCCTCGTGGGCCGCCACGTTCGACGAAACGTAAGAGTGACACTTCGCCGGGTCCCTCACGTCTTGCGCGCCTGTCTTTGGTCACCCCGCGGCCCCCATGCGCGCGCGCTCCTGCGAATTCTTAGGGTTTTTTTTTGTTTCGCATGTTCATGGAGTTCAACCAAGCGGGCCTCTCGCGCCACATTCCGAGATCATTCGAACGCCCTTGCGCGCGTGCTGGGTGAGGTGGGGGGGCACGATCCCTGTCAAACAGGACCATGCGAGCCACACGCGCGCGTCGACCGCGCGCGCATGTCGGACTCCTTCCAAAACCTGCACCACCGACGCGAGGATATCGTCACCGTCATCGGCGTGACAAGCATCGGCGCCGTCATTGGCCTTACCGTCGTCGACGCAACCATCGTCACCATCATCGCTGCTTTGATGATCGTGTCTACCGTTGTTAGCGTCGCCATGATACCGCGCCCGCCCAAGTCACCGACTCGTGGTGAAGTGTCCGCTGGGAAGTGCCCAGCGGTCAGCGCCACCGCGGCCGCGTCGGTCGCGCCAAAGTAGCTGGCCGCTGTGCGCGCGAGCATGCGCGGGCTAGCGCGGCCGCAGAGATGCACCGGCCAACGCCAAACACTCATCGCAATCGCCGCCGCATTGGTTCTGCTAATCGACTTGCGTGTGAGTAGGCGGGATGCTTGCAAGAGCGTGGGATGTGTCAACTCGTTTGTAAAAATCAATGTCACCACATTGATAGCACCACATAGCACAACATATATGGAACAACATATATTCCGCAACATAGATCGCGGCAAATAGATTGCACAACGTATATTGCACCACGTAGATTACAACACACAGGTTCTCTGTCTGAAGAGATATTAGGAGCTACCCCCCCCCCCCTGGACTTAACGGATCACCTTTTTGGTATGGCATTTTACATACGATTCAACCCCAATCGTCCATCCTAAATCTGACCCCGCATTTTTGCAGCCAAACCTGTAACGGTCCCCCCCTTTTCATCCTCCGCAAAAAAAAAAATCGCGCGCACTCGTTTATCAAAAACCCTAGATGCTGAAGAACCCCTTGCAAAAAACTGACGACATGCACACGCGCGCGCTGTCGCGCGCACGTGCCGCTTTTTCCCCCAAAAACTCGAGGCGATATAAGGCTGTCAACATCGAGTACCCCGAAACATCTTTATCTATATATATATATATATATCTATCTATCTATATATATATATATATATATATATATATATCTATCTATCTATCTATCTATCTATATGTATGCATGTATGTATACACCACATGGTTTCGCAACAAGAATTGTCCAAACAAGCATGCGCTCGGACTCTTGCGAATTCGTAAGAAGATCATCGTTTGTTCAACATTCTTATGCCTTGCTACCAAATTGGCCTTTCGAGCGCGCATGTCGGAATCGCTCGAACGCCGTTGCGCGCGTGCTGTCGCAATAAGCCCTTGCAACAAAACTGGAAAAAGTGCACACGCGCGCGTCGTCGCGCGCGCATGCCGAAATCCATCAAACACTCTCGGTGCCCGAAGGATTTCGCAATCGAGTTTCCAAAAAAACATACAAACACACAGGGCTTGGCAACACTGATTTGCAAAAAAAGCTTACGCGCGAGCGCCTCGGAAACCTTAAGAAAACCATTGGTTTTTCAAGATTTTCACAAAATGCTACCCAACGTGCTTCGCGCGCGCGCATGTCGAAATCTGTCGAACGCCCTTGCGCGTGTGCCGTCGCGAGAATCCTCTGCAAAAAATGGGACGAAGTGAAGACGCGCGCGTCGTCGCGCGCGTATGCCGAAATCCTTCAAAACCCATCGGTTTCAGAAGGATTTAAAAATCGTGTGTCCGAAAAACATACAAAAACATTAGGTTTCGCAACACGGATTTTCAACAAAAGCGTGCGCGCGCGCTCTGGCGTCATCGTCGTCGTCGCCGTCCTCCCTCCTCCCGCGTTGTCGACGTCGTCGTCGTCGCCTACGTCGTCCTCTGCTTTTCCTCGTGTTCGTCGTCGTCGTCCTCTTTGGCGTCGTGGTCGTTTCCGTCGTCGTTGTCGCCGTGGTCGTCCTTCCTCCTCCTCCCTCGTCGTCGTCGTCATCCGTCGTCGGCGTCTCGTCGTCGTCCCTCCTATTTCGTCGCCGTCGTCGTCGTCGTTGTCGTCGTCGTCGTCTCCCTCCTCCCTCGTCGTTGTCGTCGTTGGCGTCGCCGTCCTTCCTCCTTCTTTGTCGTTCGCGTCGTCGCCGTCCTCCCTCCTCCCTCGTCGTTGTCGTCGTTGTCGTCGTTGTCGTCGTTGTCGCCGTCGTCGTCCTCCCTCCTCCCGTCGTCGTCTTCGTTGGCGACGTCGTCTTCGTCGTCGTCGTCGGCGTCGGCGTCGTCGTCTTCGTCGTCGTCGGCGTCGGCGTCGTCGTCGTCGCCGCCGTCGTCGTCGTCTTCGTCGTCGTCGTCGTTGACGTCGTCGTCGTCGTCGGTGTCATCGTCGTCGTCGGCGTCGGCGTCGTCGTAGTCGTCGGTGTCGTCGTCGTCGTCGTCGTCGTTGTCGGCGTCGAAGTCGTTGGAGACGTCATCGGTGTCGTCGCCCAGCGGGAATGTGCCCAGCAGTGAGCGCCACCGCGGCCGCGTCGGTCGCGCCAAGCTAGCTGGCCGCTGCGCGCGCGCGTGTGGGTTGGCGCGGCCGCAGAGATGGGCCAGCTAACTCCAAACAGTCATCGCAATCGTCACATGGGTTTTGCAAGCCAAGTTGCGGGTGGGTGGGTGGGATGTTTGCAAGAGCGTGGGATATGTCAATTCGTTTGTTATCAATTGCACCACATAGATTTCACAGCATATATTGTAATGGCCTCCGGCCAGTGCAGCCGATCCAGGTGGCTCCGGATTCGGTGATCTTCGCGGCTCTGCGGCTTCCCTCCTCGATTATTCCGGTCCTCTTTCTTCTCCTCTGGGGGGGTGCCTGGAGCGGTCCCGAAGGGGGTCCGGGGAGGGTTCCGAGGGGAGGGTGCTGGGGGCGGTAGCGGCTAGATGTGAAGGGGGTCCTAAGGACCCCCCGAAACATCCTGGGAATGGGCAAATCATGAAGAAAACGCCAGATGGGGGGCCGCCCCCCCCTCCCCCCCTTGCCCGCTGGGATGCGCCCAGCGGTCAGCGCCACCGCGGCCGCGTCGGTGGCGCCAAACTAGCTGGCCGCTGCGCGCGCGTGCTAGGGTTGGCGCGGCCGCAGAGACACACCAGCAAACGCTAAGCATGCATCGCAAACGCCACCGCATGGGTTTTGCAAACCAAGTTGCGGTTGGGCGGGTGGGATGTTTGCAAGAGCATGGGATGTGTCAATTCATGGGTACAAATAAATTGCACTACATCGATTCTCCTTTCTAAATAGAGAATAGTAGACTCTACCCCCCCCCCGGACTTATCGCTTCCCCTTGGGATAATATAATTTCATATATATATATATATATATATATATACATACATACATATACATATT